CGGCCCCGCCCGCCCCCTCCGCCGCAGATAATTAACTCGAACCAATAAAACGCTGATTGCGGCGTCTTTGTACGCGCCGCCTCGGCATTGTCATGGAAAATGGGGTCCCCTCCCCATTCCGAGCTGCCCGCCCCTCCCCGACCCCCGCAGCTGGCCCGAAGTCGGCTCGAGCCACCTGGACGGGACCGGGGGATCCGAGCAGCCCGGCGCCCGGTCCATCTGCTCCCCATCCCCACCCGCACCGTCAGCTGCGGACCCGGCCCATCCCGGGAGGGCCCGCACAGCTCCCTGCGAAGCTCGCACTTCTTCCCTCCACTCGGCCCCGCGGGATCGCAGGGAAGAGCGGGCGACTGGGATCCCTGCCTGCAAGCCAGGGGTCTTTCCCCAGAGACCGCGGGGTGGAGGTGCGTTGGTGGTCAAAAATGATAACAACGATGAGAAGCCAAAGAGTGCAGAAGGGAAACGATGAAAAAGCACCCCCACCCCACTCCTAGTCCTCCGAAAAAACCTTCCAGAAATCATCTATCATATATCCGTATATATATGAATATATATGAATATATATATATACAAGTCACACAGGAAAACAAGTTGAAGGTACCCCATTGAAACAATGAGGTGGGTTTTACAGGATTGTTCCCCCTTCATCCTCCCCCCACCACATGACTGTCAGTTTGAGGGTATTTCTCCAGAGATCTTTCTCTGCGTGCCCACTCATAAATGTATCTGCACATACACGCGCGTGTTAGCCTAAATGGAATCACTGCTACCTATTATCTATGGGTCGCTTTATTTTCCCTGACAAGTAATGTGGTAGAGATCTGTTCATGGCACGGGTGTTTACAAACCACCACTGCCATAGACCCCTCTGTTGGCTCCCAAACCCGGCTTCCCCTCAGCCTGGGTGTGAGTTGCTGTCTGGCCTGTGCATGTCCCCCAACTGCGATCATTTGTGGGGGAAGGCTCTGCTCTTATGCCCCCATGTGAGTGGAGGCAGAGTGGGGTCTGTGTGTTCCTGGGCTTCTGGGAACCTCCAAGCTCTGTGAGAGATGTGGATTAGTAACAATAACAACAGCTGTAAAGATAAAAATATCCAAAACTTGGAAATAAGACAAAAGGAAGTCTGTGTGTCCTTTCAATGTCATATTAAGCCACTGTCTGATCAGCCTGCCTGAGTCACCTGGTTCTCAAGCCAATGCACCTTTTCACCATTTATTTATTTTTTTAAATTTATTTATTTTCTAAAGATTTTATTGGGCAATTGGGGAAGGGGAACAGTGTTGGGGAGTTGGGGAAGGGGAACAGCCAAGTTGTTGTCCTTCAATCTGAGTTATGGAGGGCGCAGCAAGCTCAGCTCCAAGTCCAGTCGCCATCCGGGCACAGCCCACCATCCCATGCGGGTGTTGAACAGGCAACCTTGTTGTTAGGAGCACGTGTGCTCTCACCAGCTGAGCCATCCTGCCACCTGTTGGCAGCTCAGCAGCAGCTCAGCTCGGGTGCAGCTCACTGGCCCATGTGGGAATCGAACCAGAGACCCTGTTGCTCAGAGCTCGAGCTCTTAACCAACTGAGCCACTCAGCCGGCCCTCGCCATTTATTATTGATCAGCATCCCTACTCAGTCAAGTTCCACGTTAACTCGTAAAAGATGCACAGTTACAAATGATTTCTGTCCTGTAGTAAATATATCGCTAAGGCTTGTGGGTTTGCTGCCCTGTAAGACACTAACCAGTGTACCTAACTTGCCATCTCGTCCTCCATTGAGCCAGCTTTACCATCCTGCTGGTTCCCTCATTGATGAATTAAATAAACCTTTGACATGTGCTCACTATATATTTGTATGAGATTCGTGTTTTCAACTTGCTGAAAACAATACTATGACCCAGTTAACCTTTCTTGTGCCAGGCCCTGTCCTCAGGGCTTCACACGGAACAGGCTTAAAAAGGTGGGCTCTGGAGTAAGACAGATCTGGGAGTGAATTCCCCTTCTGCCATTTACCAGCTGTGAGACTTCCAGTAAGACTTTATTAAGCATTGACTGAGTACCAGGCCCATTCACATTTTTATCTCTTATTCAACTCAAATTGCACAATACTGCAAGATAAGGTTTGCTTTGACATGTTTCCAGTTTTGTGCATGTCCCTGTGCACATCCCTTCCCTTGAGCCTCAGGGTCTTCAACTGTACAGTGGGCGTGGAGATGGCTGCCTCCCGGGACTGTGAAGATGGAGTGTGATCATGCTTGAGAAGGCAGCTCCATCGGTGGAGGAGCATCTTGCTACTTGGGGTTCAGCAGCAGAATGCTCAGGGCGGGGGAGTCACAGACTCAGTCACCAGGTCCCAAGGTCGCTCCTGCTGCCTCAGTCACTTAATGCCTCGGAGCTTCCACTTGCACATCTGTAAAGTGGGAATAACAGATGAAAGCAGATTTTGCCTGGCAGAGGGATCGGCTGTTGTGGCAGCTGCGAAATTAGTTTTGTGCTTGTGGGAAAGCTCGAATGTGCATGTGTACACATCAGGGGAAGCTGCTGAAATACCTTTTCGGTCTTGCTTTTAGAGCTGGCGCCTGAGAGAAGAGGTATTTCACTCCCAACAAACCGTGTGCATTTGTTCCCTGAGATCTAGGTTCTTGAGGTGTGTGTGTGTGGTGGGGAGGGGGCGCGGTTCTTGGCTGCTTTTTTGTGTGTCTATGGTTTTCTTTCCTGGGATGGACCCTGCTCAGAGTTGAGGGTCAAAGGTTGAGCAGTTCCTGAGACCTCGGGCTTAGACCGTGTATATTCATTTTCTGGGGCTGCAAACTGGAGTGGCTTAAAACACAACAGAAATGTATTGTCTCACAGTTCTGGAGGCCAGAAGCCTGAAACCAAGTTGCCAGTAGGGCCGTGCTTCCTCCAGAGGTTCTGAGGGAGAATCTTTCCATGCCTCTCTCCTAGCTTCTGGGGACTGCGCACAATCCTAGGCATTCCTTGACTTGTAGACACCTCACTCCAATCTCTGCCTCCGTGGTCACATGGCATTCTCCCTGTATGTCTGTGTCTGTGCCCAAATAGCCTCTTCTTATAAGCACACTAATCATTGGATTAGGGTCTGCCCTAATCAAGCGTGACCTCATCTTAACTTGATTACATCTGTAAAAACCCTATTTCTAAATAAAATCACATTCTGAGGATTCAGGTGGACATGAATTTGGGGAGAGGGGGTTTATTCAGCCCAGTGGAGACAACAAGCATCTCCCTGGTGGTCCTGAAGGGAGCTGACCCTCCCCACATTTTCTGGATTGCACAAACCCCAGGATTCCTGTGAGACCCTCTGGATGGGCACTATCAGACAGGTGTCTGGCCGTCCTCTCAGCAGGGAGCTAGGAGCTGCACTTCCTCTTCTTAGACAGATAATGCAGAGCAGGGCTGGAGAGTGCTCACCACCACGTCTCTCTGCTCATAGCTATACACAGGAGTGCTGGGCTCTGAGCTGCCAGGGGATCAACCTCCCCTCCCTGGTCTAGACTTTCCTCATGTGTCAAACGGGCACAGTGAGTACGATTGCACTTAACACCAATTTCAAGAACGGGCAAAATTTATGTTGATAAAAATCAGAATAGTGGTGGGGCGACTGGTTAGCTCAGTTGGTTAGAGCGCAGGTTCATAACACCAAAGTCGCTGGTTTGATTCCCACATGGTACAAGGAGCTGCGCCCTCCACAACTAGATTGAAGACAACTACTTGACTTGGAGCTGATGGGTCCTGGAAAAACACACTGTTCCCCTATCAAATTTCAAAAAAAGAAATCAGAATAGCGGTTGCCTGGGGGGTGAGCAGAAGGGAGCCTGCTAGGGGGTGGAAATGATCTATATCTTGATTTGATGGTAGTTACATAAGTGTGTATGTAAAAATGTACTGAACTGAACACTTTAGATGGGTGTGCTCTAGGTATTTTATTGTGTGTATTTTATATAGTAATAAAAAGAAAGGAAGTAAAAAGGAAGAGAGGAAGGAGAGGCGAGGGGAGGCGAGCACAGTGACCCCTTCTAGGCCTGGCTTCCAGGACAAAGTGAAGAGCCAGTGCCCAAGACTTTCTGCAAATGGTGGACAAAGGGGAACCAACATCTAACCCTGACAGCAGAAAGAGAAATGGAGGAGTGGGGGTTGGGCGTGCCCCTCTCTCCTTGCCCTCTCACCACAGGCCTCCCCCCTGGAAGACAGAAGGTGGGACTTTGGAGGCACACCTGCTGGCTGTGTGACCTTGGGCATGTTGCTTGACTTCTCTGGGCCTCAGGTGCCTCACTTGAAAAATAAGAATAATACTTTCAAAGAGCTGTGGTGAGGACTGAGATACTGGCTGAAACTCCCTTAGCATGGTGGTGCCACCTCTGATCAGCACTCCACAACCCCTGCTCTACTTGGCCTGGGCCCAGCGTGACAAGGGAGATGTGTCTGAATGACAGGCACACTGTCCTGACACTGGTTACAGACAGGTGAGAGGCAGTGTTGGATTCCCAGGTACAAGTCCTCATGTTGTCCCATTTACTACCTGTGTGACCCTAGGCCGGTCACTTGTCTTGGTTTCCTCCTCCTAAGGCTGTCATTTCATTCACTCATTCAACCTTGGGCAAATTCCTAGGCTTTTCTGCGGCTCAGTTTGCTCATCTCTAAAATAGGGGTGAGAACAGTCCCCACCGCACAGGGCTGCTGTGAAGACGAAGGGAATTTGCACTTAGAGCAGAGACTGGCACAAAGCAAGGACTCAGGAAGCTTTCGCTGATATTATTCTCCATGCCCACGTACTGAGTGAGCTCCTGCTATATGGTGGGCGCCATGCTGGGCCGTGGGGGCCCTGAGGGGCTGGCAGCCCAGCTGGGGGCTAGAAGCACCCTTCATGCAGGGTCATGCAGGTGCATGACAAGGGTGCCCAGAGCACCCTGCCTTCTGAGGCCACTGTTTCCCAGGCTGAGCATTTCAGCTGTACTGGGGCCAGATGCACGGTTCTGCCAAATGAGGTGCCAAGAGAGGCTGTCACCCTGTGGCACAAAGGCAGCTCCTCGCACTCGTCGTGGGTGGGGCCCAGGGAAGAGTTCCAACCACCTGGCTCTGCAACTGCTCATGGGGCAGCCTGGCCCCAAGCCTGGGCTCCCCTCCTCTGTGTGCAGTGGGGGTGTGGGGGCGGCCGGGAGGGGAGGGGCAGGAGACAGGCTGAGATGCCTGGCAGAGGACGGTAAGGGCAGGAGCGCAGGGCCTGGAGAGAGGGAGGCAAGGAAGGAGGGATACCGGGCAGGCAGTGAGGAGAGGCGAGGAGAGGAGGGAAGAACATTAAGGGTGAGTAGATTGGACTCCCCTAGCACCCACTGGTGCTGGGCCCAGGTCTAAGTCACTCCTCATAACAACCTTCAAGAGATACTGTTAGTAGCAACCAAAGCACAGAGAGATTAAGTAACTTGCCCAAGGTCACACAGCCAGTATGTGACAGAGCTGGGGTTTTTGACACCAAGGCAGCCAGACAGAGTCCGTGCTCTTAATCATTATGAAGATGAAGAGGGAAAGAAGGGGAGAGGAAGAAGAAAGACCAGACAAAAGAAAGGTGGAAAGAAGGAGAAAAGGGGCGAGAAAAGAGAGGAAGGAGGGAAAGAAAGGAAAAACAAAGATGGACGACAAGAGGAGGAGGAGGAAGAGACCCTCCTCCTCCTCCGTGGGGAGTGAAGGAGGGAGAAGCGAACGCTGAGGAGGGAAGGAGGTGCATCCTGGAGGAGGCTGGGGGAGGTGAGTTTGCCCTCTGTCTTGCCCCACCCCCACCCTCCTGCACTGAGCTGCTCCCTGAGTCTCACACCAGGCTCTTGGGGCAGCCCTGATGCCACCCAAGGAGAGGCTGACCCTCTGAAAACAGTGGTCTCCTTGAGAGGGGCTGGCGGGCCAGCAGCTGCCCAGAGCCAGAGAGGGGAGGTCAAAGCTGAAGACCAGGAGGGCCTGCCAGAGGAGGGACCTCTGCTGGGGGCCTGGCCTGGAGCCTGACTTCTACTCCACAGCCACCTTTCAGGGGGCACTTGACTCCAACTCAAAGTTGAAGAATCCCACGTCAGAAAGGTGAAATAAGCCTCCCAAGTCACAAGGCTGGTAAGCTGAGGAGGGCGGCTCAGGGCTCGCCAGAGCCTGAGACCGCAGTCTGGCCCAGGGGCTTCCTTCTCGGCCTCCACCCCCTCCAGCCTCTATCTTGGAAGAGGCAGAGCCCTTGGCCGAGTTTCAGCTTCAGCAGCAGGCAGAGCTCAGCTGGAGAAGTTGGCCTGGACACAACTAAATGGTCACTCACCCACTCCCTCTTAAACTTGCCTACTCATCAGCCACAGGTCCACCTGTACCCGTGTCTGCCTCCCCAGTGCACCGTAAGTCCCTGGGTTGGAGGGCTGACCCACAGGGGCCCATGGCTGTGTGCACGAATGATGGATGGGTGACACCCCACATATAATAGGGAGCCCCTCCAGTACACAGAGACTGAGGCATGGCTGATTACCACCCTGGCCTCAGTGTCCCCACCGGTCAAATGCCAAAGAGGCCCCTTCCAGCCCCAAGATTCTGCTATTACATCCCCCAGAAATCTTCAAGAGACAGCACCTGGAAATTAGAAGAAAAAGATGAGCCAGAGCAGGGTTCAAATCCCAGAGCCTTCACTTACTTCATTTGCAAGGTCAGGCAAGTCACTGACCCCTCCACACCTCAGGTTCCCCAGGGGCTACATCCTTCCCCTCCCAGGGACACTGAGGGAAGTGAGCGCTGTGGCACAGGAGGGGTTCAAATCCTGGCTCTACCACCGGGCAGATGACTTCATCCCTCAGCACCTCAGTTTTCCCATCTATTAAATGGGGGCAACCATATTAGCGTTGTCAGGTTGCTCTAGGTCTGAAACTGCATCCGTCTAGGTAAACGCTCCACCCAGAGCCTGGCGCACAGCGGACACCTGCGGCAGCAGTAGAAGGGGCACTGCTCTCCCTTCAGGTGGGAGGAGAGCTGACAGCCTCCAGCTGCGACACCTTCAGGGTCCTCCTCAGCTTTTGAGCCCAGGCCACGTACTCCTTCCCAGACAATCCCTGTGAATGACTGCGCCAGGAGGGGAGCAAGGGCCTGGACGTTTCTGCCCCATGCGGGGCTCCCGAGCTCCCCACTGGGACGACGCTGCCAGACCGCACTGTGGTCTGAACCTCTCCCCCTTTTATAGGCATCGTGCCTCTTACTCTCCGGGGTCCATCTCGGTGTCTGCACCAAGGAGCACCCAAAGTGACTGAGAGCAGAGGTCCTCAAAGTGTGTCCCCAGAACCAGCATCACCAGCAGCACCTGGGAACCTGTAAGACATGCATGTGCTCAGGCCCCAACCTGGACCTGGGGCTGGGGACCAGCCACGTCACTCAACTTTAAGA